CGACGGAAGGGGGCGGATTGGGAGCGGATGATCGTCGACGGGATATGATTTTAATGAAAAAAAAAGGGTTATAGATAGCATTTCATCGATATAATTTTAACGAAAAGGGTTAAAAAAAATTATCCATTTTAACCCTTACAATTTTGGCTATGAATCACTTAAGTCCTTATGATTTTCTCGTACCTAAAATAATTCATATATTTTTAAAAATATAACATAAGTCATTCCCGTCAAGTCTGAGTTAATAGATGTTAGAATTTACTTACATGACATATTGACTCATGATAAACCATTAAGTTTAATGGCACATATAATTTAAGTTTAAAAAAAAGGTTAAAGTCCATTTTAGCCCATATGATTTTGATCACGGATCACTTAAACTTTTATGGTTTACTTGTGTATAAAATAACACATACACTTTCAAAAACGTAGTATAGAGGCTCCTCTCGTCAAGTCTGAGTAAACAGACGTTAGAGTTTGCTTACATAGCATGCTAACTCATAATAAACTATTAATATAATGATACATATAATTTAAATTTAAAAAAGGGTTAAAGTTCATCTTGACGAGGAAACAGAAGTGGCGGAGGCCATAGTGGCGTACAAAGACAGAGAGGCAATGGTAGGAGAGGCCGGAGGCGGAGTCGAGGTGGAGTTGGACCACCACGTCATAGGCGTGGTAGGTGGGGGCACAGGAGAGGATGAAGTGAGAGGCGATGAGGATAAAGACGTCCAAGAAGAGGAAGAGGAATTATGAGATCACTACATGTTTAGTGTCGAACTGGTTAACGCATATTCACTTGAGGCAGGACCAGAAGCTTCTAAGCTTGTTGTTAGCACGAGAGAGGCTACGTATGTACGATACCTTGCTATGTAGCAATGGCTTGGTATTGTTGTTGGTAGTCACTTCCATGACTCCTCTCGCCATTGATGGTGCTCTCAGTTTATTTTTTAAAACTTAAATTACACGTATCATTATATTAATAGTTTATTATGAGTCAGCATCCCACGTAAGCAGACTTTAACATCTATTAACTCAAATTTAACGGGAGAGGCTTATATTCTATATTTTTGAAAATATATGGGTTATTTTAAATACGAGTGAATCACAAGGACTTAAGTGATCCATGACCAAAACCACATGGGCTAAAATGAACCGTAATCTTTTTTTATACTTAAATTATATGTGTCATTAAACTTAATAATTTATTGTGACTCTAATGTCTGTTAACTCAGACTTGACGAGAGGGGTATATATGCTATGTTTTTTAAAATATAAGATTATTTTAGACATGAGCAAATCATAAGGGCTTAAGTGGTCCATAATCAAAACCACAGCGGCTAAAATAGATCTTAACAAAAAAAAACCTAAAAACCCTAAAAAAAAAAATTATAATTAAAAAAGAAAAATCATACCTTAGGGGCTAATTATATATTACCGTGATAATTAACTACTATTAGTATCTCATTTCCTATACTTTCAAAAGTTACATTAGGATCTCTATACTTATGAAAATAAAATATTTAACCTCGTTTCTCTTCGCGTTGTCGACTTTGTTGATGAAAATACCATGAGGTTTATCATTGAGTATGTGTTGACTCTACCTCACTTCAGTTTACCATTGAGCACATGCAGTATTTCCATTAGTAGAGTCGACGATGTGAGATGAAATAGGGATAAATATTTTATTTTCATATATATATATATATATATATATATATATATATATATATATATATATATATATATATATATATATAATCTTAATATAATTTTTGAAAATAGAGGGATTGAAAGTAACTAATTATATGTAATTAGCCCTATCTTACAAGATGGATCAAAGTACTTTCATAAGGATGCTTAGTGTCTTATTGTCTTTTTGCCGCAATGCTTAATCTGCAAAGTTTAGCTTTAAAACAAAAAAAAAGAGGGGTGAGTTGGAAAAAAATCTCTTTCCTTTTATTTTAGATTTCTTTATTATGTTTCCTATTAATCATCTAGTTTTTAAAAAGCAAATAAAATTAATATGATAGATCTAAACTACAGCACTAGTATATTTTTAGCTGCGATTAAAAATGATGCAACTAATATACTATCAATTTATTTATGAAGTAATAATTTATAATTTATAATTTATTTATTTATAATTTTGACAAAACTATTAATTTAATATATAATACCTCAAATTTAAAAACTACATAATAAAAAATGGTGTTATGTTTTGATCCTAATAATAATAAAATTAGTGATAACGATAATGATATTACAAACTAAAATATAAATTATCACAATGATAAGATTCTTATAAAAAATTAAATAAAGATTTATGATATTTTCATGATTAATTTATACATTTAAAATTATTATTAGTGATGATCTTTTAGATAAATTATTTTCTTGTGTGAATTCTCGAAAAAGCCTCTAATACTTAGAAATTGTTTTGCATAGCACCCTTGACTGCTGTTAGAATCGGAGCAGCACTAAGAGGGGAGGGGTGAATTAGTGCAGCGGATTAAAACTTGTAAGTTTGAAAATGATTTTGTAAATACGTAGAGATTTCGATTCGACAAATAATGACTCGGTAAAAGTAGCTCGAGTAAAGTAAGGAGATGAAAACCAAAAGCTTGCTGCTATGTAAATAACGGTTTCAGAAAGGTAAACACTCACACATTCAAGGAACACACCAATTTAAAGTGGTTCGGTCAAATGACCTATATCCACTTGTAAAACCTTCTTCGATGAGGCTCCCAGCTTCCACTAGCAAATCACTTTGAAGGGGAAGGACAAATACCCCTCTTACAATTTTTTACAAGTGGTTCATACTCTTATAGATTTTCAAAGAGAAAGAGGGAGGTGAACGCTTAAGCTATTGAAAACAAGACTTGCTAAAGACTTTGCTAAGGCTTTTTCTCAATCTCTAACTTCTTAAAGGTTGTATTCTCTGCTGAGAATTGAGGGGTATTTATAAACCCCAAGAGGATTCAAATTTGGGCTCTAAATTTTGAATTCCTCTTAGATTCTCGGAGCTAGCGGTGCCACCGCCTATCAATGTCATATTGACCGTTTACTGGCGGTGCCACCGCTTGATCTTTCGGGTGCTGGGCAGTGCCACCGCCTGATCCTTCGGGTTATGGGCAGTGCCACCGCCTAGAATATTTCAGCTTACTGGTTAGGCTCCAAACTTGGCCCAAACCAATCCAAACTCGGGCCCAATTGGCCCCTAACTAGATTATAGGATTAACCCTTAATCTTAACCCTAATTATATGTAAACTACGAAATTAAGATATAGTCCTAGGCAAGTTTTTAACCAGTAATGTCGAGTTTCCTTCCGGTGAGCTTTTCGACGAACTTCCGATACACCCTCGGATTTCTTCCGGCGGACTCCCAATAGGCTCCCGATCTTGTGGCAAGTTCAGCGAGTCTTTGGCAAGTAGCCGAGCCTTCTCGATGATCTCCGCGAACCTCCGACGATTTCTTCGGCGAACTTTCGAAAACTTCGATAAGTCCCCGATTTCTTCTCGGTTGGTTCCGGCAGCACTTCCGACGAATCTTCGGACTCTCGGCGGACTCTCAAACACCCATCGAACTTGACTCCGGTAGACTTGCTTTATGTCTTCAAGCTATCGTAGTTAATCCTGCATACTTAAAACAAAACTTCGATCTAGACAATTAATTCTAAGCATTAATCAAATTGTCCGGCATGTCATTGGTCCCTCGACGCTTCGTCTGATTCTTCGGCGCATCGTCCTCTCTTGCGGCCTATTGCCCAATCGGTCAGTTGACTCTGCAACTCCGATATCCTTGGTGCAATGTCCGCTCTTCTTGGCCCGATGCCCGAATCCACGGCTCGAAGCCTTCTGTCAATATGTCGACCGATCCACCGGCCCGACGTCTGATCTTCTGACATGTTCCTCCAGCCCAACATGATTTTTCCTGCTTTAATTGTCTCATCCTGATCGAAGTATCCCGCATCACTCAAAAAGCAGATTAAATCATAAACACATATCAAGTGGTTTCATCATCAAAATACGAGATTCAACAATTGCGTGAAAAGATTATTTTGCCTCTGTCTCCATTGAACTAGTCATTTTCTATAGCCCTCGTGCAAGGGTCATCGTCGCCTCCACTAACTCGATTAACTTTGCCTCTACACGTCTCAGACACAACCCTATCGTTAGGAAGGTGGGGCGCGAGAGCCGTACCATGTCCCCCGCTTTGTTGCCTTCATCGATACTAAGCACTAATCATCTTTTAATAATTTAATCAATAATAATCTTTAATAGTAAATATAAATATATGCTGTAAAAATTTTATGGTTAATAATTTTTTTAAATATTTATTAGTGGTATTAAGTTGAAGTGTTTTCCTTGCAACTACCATCGACAGATGATGAAACATTCATAATATAATATTACTGACAGGGAATAATGAATAATGAAACTATAATATTGATGATAGTGAATGAAAAAAATCCTCACCTTGTTGTTATGTCGATAGTAAGATATGAAAATATATAGAGAAAATAAAAGATAAATGTTGCTTTCCACATAATTTTTCCTTCTTCAAGAACTGTAGTCTTTGATTCATTAATTACTGTAGTTTTAAATAACTGAAGTTAAAAGTATAAGTTAAAATGATAGTTACAAGAATCGTTGCTATTAGATATTTAAAATTGCGATTCTTCAAGAACTGTAGTTTTTGATTCATCTAATTTTTACTATAGTTAAAAACATAAGTCAAAACGAAAATTACAAGAACCGTTGTTATTATATATTTATAACTGCAGGCCCTTATCCGCATAAAATCATTTTTTGTTGTAGTGGACATGTTTCTTGAGGGAGTCGAAGAGAACCACATAAAGTGGAGATGAACTGATAAGGGAAAAAGATGCAAGGGAATCTTGAAGTTTGACTTTGGCAACAGTTCAACATGAAACAGTGGTTTCTGCTTTGACAAGCACCACCAACATGTGGGTCATCAGTAGGAGAAATAGATCATGTGCAGCTACAATTGCCACTTCTGTTCCTACTGATAAGTTTTCCATTCCCTCTTACAGTTGTTCCCACTTCTATTCTTACTTACCTTCTTCTTCTTCTTATAGGGAATCAACACGGTTCTAACAAAGGCTATAAAACTTCCCATCCTTTGTTTATTTGCAGATGGAAAATGGAGATGTGGTAGAAAAAGAAGCAAGGGATCAGAAGCCAGGACAGCAAACAACTGGTTCTATTGGCGGTGAGAGCTTTCGCGGAGATCATCAGCCATGGTTGGATCTGACACTCGGTAGGAGAACCGCTCCAACTGATGGAAGCTCTTCTTCTCCACGACCCCAACCTCCAAACCGAAAGATGTTCTCGTGTAACTTCTGCATGAGAAAATTCTTCAGCTCACAGGCTTTGGGGGGCCATCAGAACGCACACAAGAGAGAGAGGGGCGCCACGAGAAGGCCTCACCACCATCTGACAGTTCATTCTCATTCCATGGTTCCCAAGCAGCATTCGGAGAAAGGCATGTCTATGGTGGCGAGATGTTATCAGATCAACCCTGACATCGAGGTGACGAGGATTCCCTTTGCACTTGACGAAGCCAGAGGTTGGAAGTGGCCTGGAAGCTTTCAAGATGTCTCTCGCCCGACAGACCAACCATCAGAACAACAAAACCTTGACTTGAGTCTCAGGCTTTAATTAATAGTTTCCTCCATTACATGGCACTTCAAATTGTCGCTTCCAGTCAACAGTCCATCGTTATGCTCGATCAGCCAAGTCCAAGAAAAGCAAGTGCAGTGCAAAAGAGAATAAATTGTATGCATGTTATTCTTATTGCAATTGCACCGCCAATGGCTTCATCACTATTGATCTCTCGGTTTTTATAGGTAATAACTAAATATTAGATTCTCTTCAACTTCTCATCAGAGCAAACGTTTCAAGAAATATAATAGAAATCGAGTCAAGTAAAACTTATAGAATTCGTAAAACCATCGACCCCGTGCTTAGTTGGAGGAGTTTGATAATCGTAACTAGTCTTTGACTTCAGTAGCCATCGATCCCGAAACAATCAAACTAAGAGAGGAGGGTGAGGGTGAGGGAAGGCTAACAACTCATGAGAGAAGGACATGGATGGAGGTGACTTGTGATAACCCTGACAATCAAGTGATAAAACAAATTTTGTTAAAAAAACTAAAAGAATAAAAATCATATTTTTCTAATAACTTATAAGAATATGAAAGAAGACTATGATATGGTATCTAGGAGCTTCAAATAACATGTGTGGTATCAAAGACTTTATTTTTCAAAATATATACAAGTTATTTTAGCAATAGTACATTTGATGATCTATCTCAAAGATCAATAAGAGGCAAAGGCAAAAATTTTCTTGGACTTAACAATAGCAAAGAATTATATATTTAAGATATTTATTATGTTCTTATATGAAAAATAATATTTTGAGGTTAGGTTAATTATTTAAAAAAGATTATGATATTGAGATGAAAGATATGACTTTCTATGTGAAAGTCATATGTGAAAATGATAGAAGAACAGAATGTTTCCTCTATATTTATGTATTTTTTTATCAATCGGATTATTTTAAAATTGATATTAAGTATAATTCTATATTATGGTATCTTATATATGCTTACTTAAATTTTGATGCTTTAAAAGTTCTAGAGAAGTATAATATGGTGTTATGATTGCCAAGAATTGATTGTTCATCAAAATTATATAAAGTATATGTCATGAGAATATAAGAAAGAAAGCCTATGATCTAGTGCACTTAGATGTTTGTGATCCTATCAGTCCAATGTCATTTAGAGGAAGTTGGTATCTTCTTACTTTCGGTCATAGTAGAAAAACTTAGGTTTATATGTTAAAGGAAAAAAAAAGAAGTTTTAAGTAAATTTAAAGAATTTAAGAATTTGATTGTAAGATAAAGTAGTTGTAAGATTAAATGTTTAAGAATAGATAAGGATGGTGAATATATATTAAATAAATTTAAATTTTTTTATAAAATAATAAAATTTTATATCAATTCATCATATTATACACACCTTAACAAAATAGTGTCTAAAAAAAAAAAAGAGGACTATACTTAATATGGTTTGATGTATGTTAAAGGAAATAAGAATTCCTAAAGAATTTTGGGGAGATGCCGTTGATTCTACAATTTATTTACTTAACAAGTTTCTGATAAGACAAATTAGTAATGTTACACTAGAAGAAGGATAGAGCTTATAGGAACCAAGAGTCAATCATTTGAGAATTTTTGGAAGTATCGCATTTGCCAAAATACTAGAAGAAAAGAAAACAAAACTTAAGAATAAAAATTAGAAATGCATCTTGTTAGGTTATGCTGAGAATTTTAATGGTTATAAACTCTGCAATTCTATCAGAAACAAAGTTGTGATATCAAGAGATATTAAGTTTAATGAACAATAGATTTGGAATTGAAAAAATGATAAGCAGTATAAAAAACTATAACTTCAAAAGAGGATGATGTAATACAAACAAGCACTAAAGAGTCTCTACTTGAATTTTAGATCAGTTAAGTCACATGATTCAAGAAGTCCGATTGATGTGACTCAAGAGATTGATATTAACAATGTGAGCCTTTTTTTATTTTTTTAAAGGATATAATCCATTATCCTTCCAAGAACCTTATAGGGAAAAAAATAACGATAAGCTATGAATGAAGAAATTTGTGCTATTAATAAAAATGATATATAGGAGTTTACCATACTTCGATAAGACTACCAAGCGATCGGTGTTAAGTGGATCTTCAAAATAAAAATAAATACATAAAGAAAAGTGGAGAAATACGAGGTCCAATTAATTGTAAAGAGATATAAATAATAATATGAGATTAACTATGAAGAAGTATTTGCATCAATTACTTGATTGGAGACCAATAAGACTACGTATCTCTCTAATAGCTCAAATGAAATGAAAAGTTTTATAAATAAATGTCAAATTAGTATTTCTTAATAGATTTATTGAAGAAGAGATATATATTCAATAACCCCGTGGTTTTATTATTCATGAATAAGAAGATAAGATATATAAGTTAAAGCGAGCTCTTTATAGGCTTAAACAAGTCTCACGAGCATGAAATTCTCATATGGATGCTTATTTTATTCAAAATATTTTTTAAATCTCCACATGAACATGCTCTCTATTTGAAATTTAACGCTAATGGAGAAATCTTATTTATATGCTTGTATGTAGATGATTTAATTTTTACAAGAAATAATAACTCTATGATTAAAGGTTTTAAATACTCTATGAAGAAGAAGTTTGAGATGATCGAGCCTAATAATTTATTTTCTCGATATTGAAGTTATACAAGATAATAAAAGAATTTTTATCTCATAAGAAAATTAAAAAAATCCAAAAGAAGTTTTTCATAAAAGATTATCACCCTACTGATATAGTTATGGAATATATCACCAAGTTGATTAAGAAGGTGAAGGTATATCAATTGTTCCAACTTATTATTAAAGTTTGGTTAGATGTTTAAGATATTTGACATGCACTTGACCTATATATGTTAGTCATAGGTGTCCTGTAAGCCAATCACGTGAGTGATAACATGTATGACATGATACGCATTCTTTTTATTTATTATTTATTTGATATTTTGATAAAAATCATCAACTTAACAACTATACACCCGGATAGCTAAAGAGTTATGATATATATGAAATGCAAATTGACATCCTCCAACGAATTGAAACAAGACGGATCATTTAAGATTGAAGTAAGGAAAATTATTCTAATCATTTTATTAATAAAAAATTGATAAAATAATTAGAACAGTACTTTGATTCCCTTAAAATGCCACAACCTAAGAAGTTTGATAAGTTGAAAGGCAAAACAAAGATTTTTTAGTTTTGAACACCATAAGCAGAAAAGTTTGATAAGTTCCAAAGTTCATGCAAGAACTTAAAAATAAAACACTTACCGGTGTTGAAAGCTGATTATACTTCTCAATTACCTCCTTATTAAGGGAGTCAACCTTATTTATATAGTACAAAGGCTAAGTACAAAGGTAATAAATCCATTAAATATATTAAATAATATTTAAATTCTTAATTCATAAATGTAGATCACGCATGAATATGCCTGATTTGAATTATTATTCATGAATAAGCCGACAATTCCTAATATAGTCCAATATGGCTAAATAGGCTTATTCTTCAAAATGGGCTAAAAATTCATCATTCTATCATAATTGAACTTTTTCTTCATGATTTAGACTTATTTGAATCATGTTGACCATTTTATGCTTTTCTTGCATCCATAGAACCTTGATCGAGTCTTGACCACCTTACTTCTTTCAAATATCTTCCAATAAACAAGTTAAGGCTTCTTTCATCCTTTAAGCTTTAGCTCTTGTCATTGGTCCTCCATGAATAGTTAAAGAGTGTTTGGTAGAATAATAATCAACTTGATAGTTCATATCATTCCCCATTTTCTCGAAAGGATTCATCCTCGACTCAATACAAGTAATATTCTTATTTAATCCACTCAAAAATTGAGCCATGGTGGCCTCACGGTCTTCCTCCACATTAGCCCTTATCATGGTTATCTTCATCTTCTTATGATATTCATCAACACTCAGGGAACCTAGTATCAAAGTATGCAGTCATTGATGCAAATCACTATAGTAATAACTAGGGACAAATCTCCTCCTCATGGTTTGTTTCATCTCCAACCAAGTCTCCATGGGCCTTTCACCATTTCTATGCCTGTCTTTACATAATTGATTCCACCAAACAATAGCATAATCAAAAAATTTAACAATAGCTAATTTTATAATTTTCTCTTTAGAGTAATTGTGACATTCATAGATCAACTCCACTTTTTGTTCCTACTCCAAATAGGCATCTAGATTATTCTTCCCTTGAAAAGGAGAAATTTTTATTTTGATATTGCCTATATTTCTATCCACACCATCAAAACTTCCTCCCCTAATTAGACCCTTAGGATTAATATCTTGACTAATTAGAGTAACTTAGTCATCATCTATGTCATCGACACCATCATATTCATCATTGACAAAGGTTGGTTGTCTCTCATGCGTTTCACCTTGCAATCTATTAATTGCATCATCTTGCCTTTCTAAATGATCTCTTACATCTCCCATCACTTTGAACATATATTCAAATTATTACCGCATTGCTTGAACCAAAAGATCATTTGATGAAGATCTCGCTTCTTTATCTTTAGACATGTTTACAACCTACAAAACAAAGTTAGAATAACCTTACCAACACTCCCTCACATGTTTCACTCTAGATTTGATTCACTCCACTCATGTTTCACACAATTTTTGACTTTTCTTGATACTGATCTCACCGCTCTTGCCTTTTACCTCTCTTGTTTTGTTCTTTGAGTTCTTAGATTAACTAAGGTATCAAAACAAACAATTCATATTATGATAATTCATAGGTAGTGAAATTGGGCAGGTTTAAAATCAAACAAAAGGTAGGCAAATTTAAAAGTGTGTGTAATGCACTTCAATCATTAGCAAAGATTAGAATTCAAATATCAATTGAACAAAAAAAAATTATTTGGAATGAAGAAAGATTTTCAAACAGAAACAAGAATTTAAATAAACAAAGATAAAATTCTATAATTTGCAAGAATACCTTGAATCCATAATTTTTTTTTAATTCTGATCTCATTCTTCTTTTTTTTTTTTTTTTACCTTTGATTTTTCCTCTTTTTTTTTACCTTTGATTTTCTCTCTTTTTTTTTACTTTTTGAATTTTTTTTCTTTTTTTATACTATAAATTACGGATATACAAATAAGAATAGTAATAACATAATAAGCACACCAATGAATATGAAAGAAGAACA